ATGGTTAGAACCATGCTTCGCATAGCGATTAAATTTTGGGTCCCCTGTTTTGCTTAACGATGGTTTAAACAGCCTCATGTTTGCTGTTTTTTAAATCTTTTTCTGTTATTTATAAAGTAAAAGTTTACTGTTTAAAATGTTTGAAATCATAAAGTGCACTTCATAAACCCTTTGTTAACAAAATTTGACGTTGTTCTGACTCTTTTTAAATTTGTTGTTGAATCCCCCCCCTTGAGATGCATTGACTAGGTTTCAATGCATTGCAATTGGGGAACCGTGTTTCGCTTAGCGATGTTTCCTATGGTGATTTTCGCTTAAGGATGGCAATTCGTTCCTATTGGGATGGATTATCCGGTTTTCAATGCATGTCAATGGGAAACCGCGTTTCACTTAGTGATGAAATCGCTTAGCAGCTATTTTTTCGGAATGAATTAACATCGCTAAGCGAGGCACCACTGTATTTACAATGACAATAAATTTATTTGAAACTTTACTTAGGATCCACCCTGACATCTGTGGCAATTCCACTCAAGACAACCTTCTGCTAGCAGAACGAATGTATGGATCCAAGCAGTCACCTGTCTCTCATATTTTACAAAAATTTCAGTTGATAGCATTGCCTTTACTGTTTGTAAAGAATAGTAAAGAATTGTAAAGAACAGCAAAGAACTTTACTGTTTTTTACAATTATTTCTCACTTTTCTCCTAAGGAGCTCGTTATGCGAAGACATATTCACTGGCCTGATATTGTTTCTGCTTCTAAGCATCTGGCCCTTTAATGAGTTGGTTCCTATCCACTTGTATGGACAGGGCACTTGTGAATCAGTTCTCAATTAGGCTTGTTCTATACCAGGGGAGTATGACTAGTTTCCTCTTTGCAGTCAGAGCAGATGATAACTAATGTTATCATCATCATTATCATTATAATGAAGAAAAGAGTAATGAGCAATTGGTCTGACTACAAAGAAGCACCCAGTAAATTAATCCTCCTCTTGAAGGGAATAGGAACTAAACAGCTAAGGCATGCAGCAGTCTGTGGCTACTCAAGTGAAAGGGAGGAGCAGGTAAATGAAGACAGCAAAAGCTAAGATGCAACAACTGCCTTAAAAAGGGAGGACTGGGGAAAATGACTGAATTAAAGAGTCATTTCCCAGTTTAAACAGAATCATTGCCGAATGGGACTTATTTCACTTCAGACTTATTTCAGAGCAATTTACTTCAAAGGAAAATACAACACTTTGGGGACTGCTAGGATTGGATAGCAATCCCCAAATTCTTGTATTTTCCTTTGAATCTGGGTGCAAAGAAGGCCCCGCTCCCATGTCCCCACCAAGCATGTGTGTGAAGGTTGTGGGACTGAAAGAAAGGCCTTCCCTGAAGTACATAAAGCACAACTTGATAGGCTGTCATCTTTCAGCCTCAGTTTCCAAAAATATCTGGGTTTCTTCCACGGTAGTGCCCTTTGGCAAACATGTGGCGTCGCCTGTCTACAACCAGCTAAAAGTGCACTTGGTTCCATATGCTATGGTATATATATTAGGCCTTCTTTGTCGCTGCACCCAGATTCCGGAACTCACTCCCAGATGAGGCCAAGCTGTCCCCATCTTTGTTATTCTTTCATAAATAGGCAAAGACCTTTCTTTTCAGATAAGCTTGCCCTGAGTGACTGGCTGACAGAGTGGGGTTTTTGAATGGATGGTTGTACTTTACTGTCTTTAATGTGTTTTTGGTGTTGCTTTTGTTTATCATTTTTAGTGTGGCATTCGTTTGATTCACTTTAATATTTGTATACTTACTGTTTTAAGCTTTTAAATATTGACTTTTAATTATTTAAGCCACTTTGGGTCCTTTTTTAAAGGAGAAAAGTAATAATACTTACTGAGAGGAATGCATGAACGATGTCAGCCTTGATAGAACTCAGTGGTTTGTCCTTTATAACCACAAAGATCTGTTCTTCTTTTTCTAGGTTGATAAAATTACCAAACCAGGATTTTTTGGCAAGCCTGATCATTCAGAGGTTGAAGACAGAAAGAGAAAGGGTGGGGTGGGTTATAAAAGGAAAAGAGAAGATTTAGAGACACATTAGGCAACCAACAGAGACTCATCATACTCAGCAAACTAGGAGTTATAATTCTTTATGTCAGGACCATGGTAACTGCTCAGAAATAGGAATCACACCAGTGATGCATTTGGCTTTACTACTACAACAGCACATATAAACAGAAATAGAAGGCCAGGTGTCACTCTAGAAGAGTAAAGGCTGTGAAACAGCTTTGCAAATTTTTGCAGGGAGATGAATAAAGAAGGAATAGCTAACTTCTTTTGTGCATCTCTATTATACCAATTTGCTCTAATACAGTGCCTGACAGATGTTTGGCATTGCCCCTGCTGTTTGCAAATGATGTGAGATGAACACACCTTGAGGATACTATGTTGTGGAATGGTGACTTAAAAGCATGCACATATAGTCCGTGCACATTCAGCTTGTCTGCAGGCTCTGCACAGAGCCATAGAACTGGTACTCCTAAGAATCCTTGCTTGTGCAGTGTCCACAGAAAGCTCCCCTCATGCTCAGCTCATTATAGCTGTCTAGTCTTATTCCATTGACAGTCACATAATCCATTTTATAGAGGAAAAACCAAGTGTTTCATTTGTTTTAAAGACAAGTTGGCATTAAAAAAAATAGAACTTCTACCTCTGTCAGCCTGCCTGCCTGCCTAGAAAAGCAAGTCAAAGCTGTTGCAATTTGGGGAATCTGTTTCGCTCATTTGCTGAAGTGGGCAGAGACAAAACACAACTCTCTAAAATATTAATAAGCAGCGACAACTGTCCACAAACCAAAGATTAGCATAGGGAACAGTAAAGAGAAAGGCTCATTTGAGTGTGTTGCTAAGAAGCCTGGAATAGAGCATGGGAGGAACATTATGTACTGATTTGCTTGTGACATTCTCAAACATACCAGAGTGACTTGGTAGGCCCCAAGACAATCAAGGCATCCAGCTCTGCACACAGAAAGCCTTTGCTGATGAGGTAGTTATTCATATAACCCACACAATCCCTTCTGGTATATATTAACCCGAGGGCAATTTCATGCATGTTTTCCAAATAATTACAATAAAAAATGGATGAAGTGCTTTCCCCACTGCAGCAACACGGACTACATATCTGATTCCTATTGTTGCTGCTTATGCATAAGGTACAAGAAATTCATGCCCCTGTTCATACATTAAAATAGACACATTTTAATAAGTGAAGATATTGTTCCTCTCCTATCAATTTTCTCTCCAAGGAGGGTTTTTATAAAAAGAAATATAGACTTTTCTATCTGTAGTGAATAGAAAGTTTACTCTTTAAACACATTTATACATTATTTCATGAAAGTCATGTCATGTCACAAGCTTGGTGGGAGCCATAAGCGTAGAAAGTAACCCCATGTGGCATCTTGAACTTATAAACCTATTGTTCTGAGTAGTGTGTTTTATCAACGTGCTAACATGCTGATCTGGTCAAAGAAAGAGCCTTAACAGCCAGCACACAATAGTCTTTGCCTGCCCCTGCCCCTCAAAGATAGTCTTATCAGAAAAGCCATCACTACACTTTGCCAAAAGTAACTGTATAGGATTGCAACAAGTCAACATCCACTATGAAGCACACTTACTGGGTTGTAAGAATCTTTTGATTAAACACAGAGCAAAAGGACTTCCACATAAGTGCCCCTAACTATATCAGCAAGCTCTCAATAGCAGGCCCTTTCTAGTACCGGGTGTACAATGGGAAGCCTCCTGAACTAGTGGGATTGGGGAGGGTTGCTAATCTGATTGCACTTCTCCTCCAAGTTTAGGTGATAGAAGCTTAGTGATTTAAATTCAGTGGCAAATAAGAGTGCTTTCAACAAAATACTGTAGTATGTAATTTTCCTTCTAAAATTCTGGCAGTTAACTAAGCCAAAGCGCTGGACCAGGCAGTTAAACTGTATAATGCATTTTTAGAGTTGTTTTTATCTACTAGATTTACTGGACCAGGCAGTTAAACTGTATGTGTTTTTAGAGTTGTTTTTATCTACTAGATTTAATCTTATATTTGTTTAATTATTCTTCACATTGAAATAAGTGATTTTTTAAGCCTTAGGTCCTCTTGAAGTGAAAGGTGGTATATAACAATTTTAAGTAAGTAAGTAAATAACTAACTAAGCAAATAAAGGTTTTCCAAAAAGATGAATAGGGAAAAAATGTGAACCACAAAAGCAATCAATGCACCTACCCCACTTGACCTCCATACAAAAGATTCCTTAAGGGATCAGCTGAAAGCAACATGATCTACTTGGGAAAAGTCCAAAATCCTATGTGCACAACAGCCAACTTTTCTTTTAGAAATAATAAAATTAGATAGAATGGTCTCTCTGCTGATTGCTGATTACAGATACTGGGGGGAAAAAAGTCTTATACAATTCTGGTTTCTATCATAGACTCTAACTTCTACAGCAGTGGGTTTCTATGGGACCCTATGGGTTCAATTCTACAATAGGACCCTAGCGCGCACACACACACTGGCCAATTCAACAAGCCCAGTGATTAATTGTCCTATTTTAGGGCTTGCTGAATTGAAAGCCAATTGCAAATCAGCATAACTCCATCTTCTGGCACACTTGGTGATACAAGTTTTTAATTGTGTGGATTTTTTTGTTTTGTTTTTGTTTTTCTTCTGAGAAGGAGGATGATAAAAAAAAATAACACATTTGAGATAATAAATTAGGAAACCTCCCAATTTGAAGGTAGGCATCTCAATGCATTTTTGTCATGCGTCTGCATTTTTGAAAACTGAAGAAAGCTTTACTCAGCTTATTCTACAGCTATGACACACCTCAAGCATGATGATGTTGACCAATGCATTTTGAAAGCTACTAGTTCTTTCTACAGATCTACTTTTGATATAAATATTCATTTTGGAGGTCTTTTTGCACTAGCAGATAAGTATTTAGGGATACCAATTGGTTGCATTAACAGGTCATGATGCTATTCTAGTCATGGTATTTTGTCATGTCTCATCAAGTTGCATCCAACTTGTGGCAGTTCTTCTAGGATTCTTGAGGTATGTATGATATTTAAGGATGGTTTTACCAGTTCCATCACCTACTGAATTTCCATGGCTGAGTAGGGATTTAAACCCAGGTCTCCTGACTCTTGGCCCTCTACTCATTACATAATACTGCTCCCAGTTGTCCTGTAAAATGCATTTATATGACAAATTGTCCCAAGATGTATAAAGAGACACATATTTGAATGTTCATGTTACTGAAAGCAGTGGAGATATAAGACAATCAGACATGGATTCTCAGTTCCATTTTTCACATGTACCTGAGAATACACATCTGAATGTCTGCAATACATTATGTGTTTCCAATACAGTACAGGTATATAATCCTAATTATTCCTCAAGCAGCAAATGAAATATGTGTTGGAGCTTTATTAGAGGGTTATATAATTCTTTTGAGAGAAATTAGGGAGGTGATCTCAAAGAAACCATGGTAGGGGATATTCCAAGAATATTAACTCTTATTTGGGCATTAAATCCATCTGGTTACAATCACATGGAGTAGGCAAGAGGAACAAGCTGGCCGGCTGGGTCCATCTCCTTCTCGGTCTAGCTCACACCCTTAGCCTCTGGTTGCAGAAGATAAGAGAGCTTCTACCATCTATGCATATAATCAACCCATGTGTTCTGGGTTCTTATATGTGAATATGTGGCTGGTGGGCACATGATGGTAGGGAAAGGGCCAGTAGGGAAGATTGTTTGTTTAATAAAATTTTATACAGACACACACACACCCGAATTAGTGTGAGGCACTATCCCGGGTGGTTCAGTTTCCCTTTAATTGCATTCATTGCGACTCCTTTGATGGAACACCTGAACAGGGCTAGTGGAAGTGGACTTTTAAAAAATGGCAGTGTTCAGGATGAAGATTGCGTGTTGATATTTGATATTGATAGACGTCTTTATAAAGTAATGCAAAATTTTAAGAAGCAGATGGAGGCATGCTGGTTTACACCAGACAGGAATGGGGCCTATCTATTTTATTTCTACAAATTTATCTAAGCTTTCCAAAAATAAAATGATACACATTACCTAGACATGTCAAGATATAACATCCAGTCATCAGAACTGTTAAATGAATTAGATTCATTAAAAGATGCAGCAAGAGAGGAAAGAAATACATTGAGGTAACATTTCAGTGATGGGGTCAGTTCTCCAGCAATCAAGACATCTTGTGTTGAGAGTAAAAAATAAAAATAAAAAATAGAAAACTCCAAAATGGCCACAGAGCATAAAGGCTTTGATGGCTGAAATAAAAACGCAGTTCATTATTTTTTACAGCTTTTATTATGTTTACTACAGGGTGCCATATGATTGAACTCATTAATTCAGCAGTTATATTAGAAAGGGGGAAAGGGCCTTAGGTTTTGAGTTGCATGCAAACTGCCTACTAAGACTCCATTACTTCTGTCTGGCAGTTCTTAAAGAGAGAGAGAGAGAGACAAAAAGGCAGTAAATTCACGATGAATCTCAGTGTATAAATTAGAAAAAATGAGAGAACAAGACAGCATGTGGGTTTGAAAGGTCTTGGTGAACAAAAAGGAGAAAGGAATTCAAGTTGCCACTTGAGTTTCAAAACATACATATGCTGCTTTTTTTTAAAATTCTAAATAGCTTTGGAAAAAAACCATATTTAACTAATGTTATAGGGTTTATATTGTTTTCTCTTGAACAGCTGTTTGAGAGTCAAAGTAGATTTTAAAGAAAATGCTTTTTTTCTGTGATAAACATGTTTTTCTTTCTCCTAACAGATTTCATGTATGCTTCAGCAATATCATACTGACACAACAACCAGTAAGCCAGTCTTTATTTTCTAGTGATGAGTTATACAAGAAAGCATCATAAATTTAGCATAAATGACAAAATACTTCTATTATAAAAAATGGATGCCTCTACTGCTTGAGAGAGCAACATATTTAAAAACATGCTAAACAAATCACCTAGTTTGGACTCTGAGCCTCCCCTCCTTTCTTTCTTTAGCAACCTCATTATTTTTTATTTTTCACCTGACCACACTGTGACAGAGTTAGATAGCTGAAGTTTTTACCAAATCTCCGTAATGGAGTAAAACTCATAATGCCACTCATCACTTCAAATTAAGACTTTTTGGTCCAAACATTTTAGTCAGAACTCTTGATCATTTCTCATTGTGGCTTTAGCAAATGCTAGACCAATTCAGTGGTCAGGTTAACCATAATCAGTACAGGCCCAAGGTATATCAGGTTTAGTAATATACCAGGATACAGGAGCCTAATAGCAGGATTAGCAAGAAAATTTGTTTTTTTTTAAAAGGTATATTATGTATGTAAATTCAGAGAATATCTGGAAAAATAGTCTTAGCAAAATTTTATTAAAATGCAGGGATCTGTAACTTTTTTGATGCATTTTTATTAAATTTATTTGAATGTCAGTTTATTTTGGCAAATAAGGTAAATAAATGGCTTATTTATGCTCCTATGCCATTTCATTTGCTGTAGCAAATAGTAGTTGCCTTGAATTGCAGCTGCAATTTCTGTCTCTACAGTACCCAAGGCTTGGAAGCAGGGATTCTGCCTCTGACAGTGTCACATTCCACTAAATATTATGGCAAAGGATCCAGAGAAAAGAAGAAAAGGAAACAGCTGTGGTTGACCATGCCAAATGAACAAGATGTAACAAGAAGACCCTGCTTTACATTGTGAAAGCTGGTTGCCTTATTGATTCTGGAGACAAGGCAACAGGCCCAAGAAGTGTGATTAAAGAAGTTTACTTGAAATAGTTTCACAGAGTGATTTATTTTGCTCTATCGAGGGCAAAAATTTGATAATGTTATGCAAATTGGATATTTGTTCCTAACTTAACCCTTTTTCTATGAAATGAGTTGTCAAACATGGCATCACCTTTACAATTAGAATCCTATGTATTATTTTAACACAATATGAAGAACGTGGTTAGGTGAGAGCTGGAAGCAACGCACTGGAGTAGTAAAGAGTACCATCCATTATAATGGATAAGTTTTATTTTTATGTATTTCTAATTAAAAGATCACTTAGGAGTTACACATATATTTTTCCTTACACAGATAAACTAGTGATCCTTCTTGTTCCCTGGAGATATTTATTATATTTACCTAAAACCTGTGTTTAGCAGAGCAGTTCCTCTGATGGTATAAATTACATGTCAATGCCATGACTGTGGTATCCTATAATTTTTTTTGCTGGGTATAAAACATCCTGTCCCATTATAAAACTTACAGTAATTAAAAGATTGGTAATATTATAGCATGCATTAAGTTACTTACTCTGGGGAAGATTCTGGAGTTAAATTGGACATCTCTTCTGGCGTAGGTACTACATAAGCAGGCACAGAGAAACAGAAAGAGAGAGAGAAAGCACAGGAGAAATAGAAATGAAGCTTCTTTTAAATCACTTCTGAGTCAATAAAATAAAACAAGGGATCAAAGTTCATCATGCATGTATCTCAAGCACTTTATAATCATTTTAATTCCTAATAATTATCTGCCCTATACGTCCATCCTCATCTTGTATGTAGATCTGACTACATTTAGTCATGCACATCTACCTTGCATCAATCTGATCCTTAGAAAATCTGGAAATAGGATATGATTTTTCTTCTCCCTTGAAATGGTGAACATTAGTTCTGCTTTTTCTGAAGATTAAAACAACTGGAAAATCCATCTACAGATGTTCCAGTTTTTTTTTTTTAAAAAAAAGGATTGTCGATGGTACATCAACCTACTGAAGCCCAGTAGATTTCATTGCTTGTTCTGATCTGAAAGGAAACTGAACAATCGACAAAGTACTTTGCCAATGAGTTTGTATTGATACACGTTGTGAAGCTCAATGTTCTAACAATAACTGTGAAAAAGCACACTGTGTATAAATTCAACTAACTCGAAGCTGTATTCTGTATCTTTTTGTTCCTCCATTGACAATGTCAGCTCAATAAAGCTGTGCTTCTTCTGGACCTCTTGTTTGTTCAACTCATCTGTCTCTCTTTGTGCCTGCGCATCCTAAGCAGCTTAGTTGGAAGCAGCTAAGATGAGATAAAGAGCATCCAGATTCCTATACATTCCCAGAAAGAAGAATGTTGGATGCAGTGACTGATAGTCAACACCACTTTGTGGTCATTCCAGCAGTATCCACAGCAGCACCCCTTCCAATCTGTATTTGGCACGCTGCATTTTAGCTACATGTTGCTTCATTGCAATACAGCCAAATCAAGATACGGTACAGACTACAGATGAGTTACCCAGACTACATGCCTGGACCACTATGGAAATGCCTTTGAAAGAAAACAAAATGAAAATATACTGCTAGAATGCACAGAAAATGCTACAACTTAGTCAAACCATTTCCTCTACAACTGGTGTTTCAGGGGCATAAATAATCTCCTTCCGGTAATTTATAAAACCTTGTGCTTACAACAGAAGAAGAAATCATGCTCCAAAATAACTGGCATCCCTTTCTACCAATCGGACCAGAACTACTTGCAAAAATATGACACCTTTCCCCTTCCACACAAAGGTAAGGTTGATTTTTCCAGTCTTAGGGACAGAAAATACAGATTTAGAATACAGATTTAGGAACTGAGAGCATGTGGGAACTGCAACACACAGATAGAATTGTAGAGTTTCACTTCTGTAAAAACTTAAGGTTGATTTTCCAGTCTTGGAAACAGAAAAACATTTAGGAATTGGGAACATATCATTGTTTGAACAGTTAAGACAGCAACAACATCAAAAAATGACATGGATGTTTTCACATTTCCTTCCAGCTACTAACCAGCTGTTCTCTTCATTTATTAGATATACTTCTGTTTACCTAACTTGAACCACCATGCTTCAAAAATAGAGATACCTTGCAATTTCCTGCGATGGAAGCGAGGAGATCCCAGGAAGCTGTTCTTGATCGAGTTGAGTCGTGTTCTCCAGGGCATTCCTCCGATGCTGGGACTGGATGGTGGCGTAGGGTTGGGTGTGCCTGCTGGGCTCTCCTTTGGCGTATGGACAGGTGTCCCCTTGGGGGTAGGGAGGGGACTGCCCCTTGGAGAGGGGTGAGGGGTGACCTGTATGATGGGGATAGATTTGGTGCTTGGGTCAGTACTAGAAGGGAGCAATCTAACAGGAGATATAGGGTTGGTTTGCACAGTAGGAACAGCCAGCTGTGGGCTTAATCCAGGAGCAGGTGGGCGGCTTTGCGTGTTTTGTGCAGGGGCATTTTGGGAAGGAGAAACAGTTGCATTGCCTGAAGGAAGTGGATTTGATTTGGTAGACTGGAGTGGTTTTTCAGCCAATTTGCTCTTGGACGGTAAAGTCTGTGTCTTTGGATTGGGTTGAAGCACTGGCTTTGGTTGCAGAACATGTCCAGGCCTGGAAGCATTCCTACAAGCATCAGAGTCTAGGGAGACTTGGGGGCGGGGGGTGAAAGGGAGGTCAGGAGTCTGAGGGGGGATGAAAAATTTTCTGATAGGCTACAAGATACACACAGAGAGAGTATCCATGCACATCAAGAAAAGCAACACAGACACATACGCACAAAGTTGGTGAATAGAGAAATAAAGCCCATTTGAGTTGCAGTTGTGTGCCACATTACAAAGAGGTACGAGTCATGGAGGTGAGGGTGAAGGAGGTGGGGTGAGGGGGTCGCAAAGAAACAAAACACAAACACAAACAAAAACAAAAAAAACATGCAGTTAGCTGGGAACACAGCATAATTAACAACAGCGGCGGCGGCGGTAGTGAAAACAACAGTTTTCTAACAAGCTTCATTGTCTTAACAAACCATGTGTCAGCAAAGAAAAACCACACAGCAAAAAAGTAACATGAAGGAAAACAAAAGAAAAATAACAGGGTGGGCAAGGAAGGGAGAGCTGCAAGAGAGAGAGAAAACACCATCCCCCTGACCTGTTCTGACTATCTTGCAGAGAGAGAACAACAAAGCTTGAAGGGAGGTGTGCGGAAGGGGAAGGAAGCACCATTCAAGCCGCAGTGAGAACTGACAGATACGTAAGCATCTCGGTCGAGCTTGCCCTCTCCCAGCTCAAAATGTCGACCACAACCAAACACAGAGGGAAAATGCAGATCCAAACAATACGTGTGCCGCAGGTGATGATAAAGACACCCACATTACTACATAAGCAAGCTCTACCCTATCTCTGTCAAGGTGCTACCAGTATCAGCCACATGGCGTGTGTATGAAAGTGACAGAGACAGAAGATAGGCGGTGCTATCATTTCATCCCCCTTCTTCCCCTGATCCTCTGTCCAGGGGACTTCTGATTTCTCTGGCAGGGTTTAGAATATGATATTTGAGGAGATCATGGAACTGTGGCCAGTTTGGGCTTTAAACAGGAATCCTAACAAGCATCAATTAGGCAAGTTTGCTTTGTAAATTTGCCCTAGACCTTTAAGCGCTTGTTTGGCATTAAAAAACAACAACAGTGCTTGGGATCCCATTCTGTGGCTGATTATTCATGTGATCAATTGCCATTAAAAAAAAAACCAGACCTCATAATCTACTACAAATGAAGTCAGAAATAGGAATTAGGTCTTTAAAAAGCAACAAAAGAAACTAGCATGTATTCATTACAGGAACACTCTAAGATAATTACTTTAAAATTAGAGACAAATCTGCTAGTAAAAATATTCTAAAGGATATTGTTTGAATGCCAAAACACAAAAAGTTCTTCCTTTAATAGATCTAACAATAGCACATATTAGAAAACACAGGAATGCTGTCTGTTTGCAGTTCTGACAAAAACTATATCCCCCTTCCATGGATATAAACTTTTAAAAAATTAAATAGCCTCAGTGTTTTCTAAGCAATGTGTTTAGCATCACTTTCAGTTTGACTCTTTAAAATGCAAGATTCATATGGTAACATGAAAATATTCCCAAGCATTCCTGAGGAGAAACAGAAGTAGAACAGACTTAGTGTAGTTCCTCATTATTTTCTATGACTTGATTATTTCTAAAAGTTATACTCTACCCTTCAATGCTAGTCAGCACTTTCATGTAATTAAATACTTACAGAATGCAACCTAATTCCTTTTAAATCAATTAGCATTTTGTTCTTGTCTTCAACAACTGTACTCTGCCTTTCTTTAAAACAACACAATTTCTTTTTATAGTACATATTTCCCAATCTTAGTTGTGGCCCACTGAGAAATTGTCTGCTTGGTATTGTCTCTGGTTTATAATAATTTCCTTTAACCAACTGCATTTGATCAGCTGCTCCAAAATAAAGATTATAAATTACTTTTTTTAATGTGGAGCAGAAAAGGAATGCGAGATGCCATCTTAAACAGGATCTGCAATTCTTTACAAATGCTAGATCTCAGATACTTAAACTAAGATCAATGTGATGTTTTTATAATGTACAGATAAAGAGGATCAAAACTGAATGAATAATTTAGCAACTACAAAGAATCCAGAGAAAAAAAAGGCTCAACTGTGCAAAATACTTCCATGCAGAAGAGAAAATACTTTGTGATATCAACTGTATGACTGCTACATGCTACAGGAATTGAATTCTCTGTATGTGTGTAAATGTGTGAGTTGCATTAGAAGGATAAATTCCCCCAGCTGTCCTACATTTTGCCCAGTTCTCATAGGTGGATCCTCAGTCAAATGGTGATAAATCAATATGATCAGCTAGCAACTTTTGTTTCGCCACACTGTTGCTAAAACCAAGGATGTGTGGGCTACCTTTGATGTTTTCCCAACATTTAAAAAGACAACTACCACTCTACTGCTCAAGGATTGTCTAAAAAAAGGTCTGTTCTTTCTCGTTAAGTGGAATTCATGTTCTTCCCCCTGCCAGTCACTGCATATTCTGACTGCAGAATTTTTCTTGCTCCTCCTTTAATGCTTCTCTGATTATCCCTCAGAACCAACAGACTCCTGCTTCTACTCTGGAATGTCCCAATCCAACTCTGTATAGTTCTTATGCTGACTAGATTGTTCATCTGTGCTGTGCAGTTCCAAACTAACTCTAGCTTTTATGGTTCAATGCGTCACCATGGGTTTGCAAGAAGTAGCAGATGTTCCTCACAGCAGACGATAAACACTACAATGGATGTTGCACACTGCTGCCAGGTTAGGCCATAATGACCCATTAGGCAGCCCCAATGCTAGATGCACAGATAGGCACAAGAAGGATGCTACACCAACAGTGATAAACTACAAGCTAGATTTACAGATAAAATCTCCCATTGGGACATCTCTCAAACGTTGGAAAGGAATGTTAGACACAATCCAATTCACTTGAGAGAGCTATTATTACCCTTAGACGATCATACTTACCCTTGGACTGCTGAGGGGACTGGTGGACAGACCAGATGATGCTCCACTGATTGACCGTGACCTGGGTGAACACAACAGGAAGACAACATCATAAGAAACCCCTGTCAAAAATACATCACACGGTACCAGCCTACACAACATTTAACCCCTTTATAAAGCTGCTGTTCACATTTCAACAATGAAATTTCCTACAGAGTTGATATCTCTTATCCAAAAAGTAAGGGGTGAGGAAGAAAGCCAACCTTTGATTTATCTCTGGGTCTGCCTGCCTCTCTCTTTTTATGAGATGACAGGTTTTTCTATACACACTTGGATTTGCCTCCCTTACAAGATTTTCCTGCTCCACAACACGTTCACCACAAAGATTTGATCTCTGTATGAAGTATCTCATAAAGACAGGAGAGTGTTTATTTTTGCAGGAAAGAGCACTTTTATTGATTGCACTGTGGCAAACCAATTAGCTACCTCCGTGAATTACCCATCTTCATTGGTTGAGAATATCATTATTTTGAAATCAAGTATATGTCCCTCTCTTTACAAATCTTCTCTCTTGCACACACGTGCACGCACACACGCGTGCGCGCACACACACAAAAAAGCACATTTATTAGTGATGTTTATTTCATTTTATTTCCCATTTCATTTTATTTCATTTTTATAACCCCCCCCCCATTCAGCTCCATATGTTTACAGCCAAGACATAGTGGCTGTGTCAGCCATCAAAATGGCTACATCCATCCTGAAGGATTGTCACAGTGAGGTGCTGGGCTCCCGTCGTCCTAGCACCTCACTATAATACTTGATTGAAATCATCATCCAAAAACAAGAGTCTCAGAAATAACACTGAATGCATAAGCAAACGAGCAGCTCATCCATCTGAGGTACATGAGGATTAAGAGTATTTTCACAGGTTAGGGTTTATCAGTAATGCAGGAGAGAGGCACTGGATATAAAATGCACATTATTTTTCTTCTCTCCTTTTAAACCCACATTGACATCACACATACATAGCACAAATCATGTGAGAAAGAGTCAAAGGCACATTGAAAGTACAGAGGAGGAAAATTCGGAACAAATCCAGAGACTCTGATAGTACTGCCATTGTCTATCAGAGGAAGAGACAAACACAGAGACAAATCCAGTAAGCAAATAAAAACATATCAGTCCCTTAGTCTTAGGTCTCTGTTTACAACATATGCACTCAAACGACATCTATGCTTCTTGATCCTTGCAATGACCATAATCACAGAACTCCTGTTCAGATATGGCTATGGATCTCCTTGGCTGGACCAGAATACCTATTTATTCCCAGCACTACAGATTCTATTGCCCTTGGCTGAGCCACTGTGTCTTATATACTAGACTGAGTATGTACATCCCAGCACAACATTTACCTACAGATATAAATTCCTCTATAAACCTAGTATCCACAAACTATTCTACAGAACATACACTTATTCTGGTGGAAATAGTGTTCAAATTCTGGTTTGGGAGGTAGAAAGGAAACAATACTGATGTTTGATCTCTTGGACCTGCCCCTGACATGAGGGGAAAAGGTCAGAAACATGGTGCTGGGACCCAAACGTGACAAATTTGTGGCAAGGAAATGGATTTTACAGATACAACAAACAACGTCTGTAACTTACAGAGGCCTTGCAAAGACCTTGGAACACCCCTTCTGAGGTGTTCCAGGGTCTTTAAAATCTTTAAAATAGGGAATGGCCACACAAATAAAACACATCCCCAGCCTATTCCAGTATGTTAGAGAAGCACCTGAGAAAAGTTACTATATCCAGATTTCACATCCATTTCACAATCCAGGGTCATAGGAGACATTTCGCATCAGCATTTAAGGAAATATATTTGCTGGCTATGAAATGTGTTGCCAATTCATCACTGTCTTTCAAAGTTAAAATTTAAACAAGTACATGTTACAACTTCAAATTTTTCCTGAAATATTTAGTTAGTTTAAAAATGAGCATGTCTTCATCCAAAATGAATTTCAAAGCAATAGATTCACAACAAATATTGAAGGAAGTGTAAAGTAAGCAAAAAAAAAAAAAAAAAGCTAGCACCAATTTTCTAATACAGTCACATAGGGAATCATTGTGGTACAGGGGAAAGAGAAGCAGACTAGGTCTTAAAAGAACTGGGTTTCAATCCCCATCTGGGGGCAGCTCTGGTAAAACCTTTCCTTAAATGTCCCCCAAACCTTAAAACCACTATTACGGTTGCTAGATACCAGATTCCCCTTCACGGATTGCTGCCTTGTCATGGCGAAGGGGCTGGAGTAATTCAGAGAAGCTATGGGCTATGCCGTGCAGAGACACCCAAGACCAGACAGGTCATAGTGAAGAGTTCTGACTAAATGCGATCCACCTGGAGCAGGAACTAGCAAGCCACTCCAGTATCTTTGCCAAGAAAACTCCATGAACAGAAACAAAAGGCTAAAAGATATGACACGGGAAGAAGAGCTCCTCAGGTCAGAAGGTGTCCAACATGCTACTAAGGAACCGCAGAGGACAAGTACAAGTAGCTCCAGAGCTAATGAAGTGGTTGGGCCAAAGCCAAAAGGACACTCAGCTGTGGACGTGCCTGGAAGTGAAAGGAAAGTCCGATGCTGCAAAGAAAAATACTGCATGGGAACCTGGAATATAAGATCTAGGAACCTGGGTAAGATGGATGTGGTCAAACAGGAGATGGCAAGAATAAACATTAACATCCCGGGCATCTGTGAATTAAAATGGACGGGAATGGGCGAATTCAATTCAGATGATTACCATATCTACTATTATGAGCAAGAATCCCATAGAAGAAATGGAATAGCCCTCATAGTCAACAAAAGAGTGGGAAATCTGTATTGGGATACAATCCCAATGATTTCAATACGAATCCAAGCCAGACCTTTCAACATCACAGTAATCCACATTTATGCACCAACCACCCATGCTGAAGAGGCGGAACTTGACCAATTCTATGAAGACTTACAACACCTTCTAGAACAAAAAGAAAAATACTCTTCTCATTATAGGGGACTGGAATGCTAAAGTAGGGAGTCAAGAGATAAAAGGAACAACAGGGAAGTTTGGCCTCAGAGTTCAAAACGAAGCAGGGCAAAGGCTAATAGAGTTTTGTCAAGAGAACAAGCTGTTCATCACAAACACTGTTTTCCAACAACACAAGAGGTGACTCTACACATGGACATCACCAGATGGGCAATACCAAAATCAGATTGATTATATTCTCTGCAGCCAAAGATGAAGAAGCTCTATACAGTCAGCAAAAACAAGACCTGGAACTGATTGTGGCTCTGGTCATCAGCTTCTTATAGCAAAATTTAAGCTTAAACTGAAGAAAGTAGGAAAAACCACTGGGATAGTCACATATAATCTAAACCAAATCCCTTTTGAATACACAGTGGAAGTGAAGAACAGATTTAAGGAACTAGATTTGGTGGACAGAGCGCCTGAAGAACTATGGATGGAGGCTTGTAACATTGTACAGGAGGCAGCAACAAAAACCATCCCAAAGAAAAGGAAATGCAAGAAAGCAAAGTGGCTGTCCAAGGAGGCCTTACAAATAGCAGAGAAGGGAAA